GGAAGTGCCGAAAAGGCATCAGGAATGGGAGCTGCCGAAAGGCATCGGGAAGACAGAAAATACAGAAATGGCGGTTTCCGATTCGGCACGCTCCTCACTCGGATCGCGACGGGGCCAAGGCCGCTGATGATGTCGGCACGCCCCTCCGAGCGGATCGCGCCCACCACGCCGTGGGGGGTCTCACGAAAATGGGCGCGCCGAAATGGCTGCCGAAAGGCATAACGAAAGGCATCAGGCCGGGATTGGGAATTGCCGAAAGGCATCAGGAATGGGAACTGCTGAAAGGCATCGGGAATGGGAAGTGCCGAAAGGCATCAGGAATGGGAACTGCCGGAAGGCATCAGGAATGGGAAGTGCCGAAAAGGCATCAGGAATGGGAACTGCCGAAAAGCATCAGGAAGACAGATAATACAGAAGTGGCGGTTGCCGACTCGGCACGCTCCTCACACGGATCGCGACGAGGCATAATGCAGAAATGGCGGTTTCCGATTCGGCACGCTCCCCACTCGGATCGCGACGAGGCCAAGGCCGCTCGCTGACCGTGTCGGCGAGCCCCCCCGCGCGGATCGCGCCCACGCCCCGGGGGGTCTCACGAGAACGGGCGTGCCGAAATGGCCGCCGAAAGGCATCAGGAAATGACGAAAAGCATCAGGATGGGATTGGAAAGTGCCGAAATGCATCAGGAATGGGAAGTGCCCAAGGCATCAGAAAAGGAAACTGCCGAAAGGCATCATGAACGGGAAGTGCCGAAAGGCATCAGGAATAGAAGGAAGGGGAGGAGGAGGAGGATGAGGAGGAGGAGGAGGAGGAGGAGGAGGAGGAGCGGGAGGAGGACGACGACGACGACGACGAGAAGGAGGAGGGGGCCCGGGGCTGGGCGTTTTTCGGCGACGAGAAGGAGGAGGGGGCCCGGGGCTGGGCGTTTTTTTTTTCTGGTCTCCAGGGGCCCTCGTCGTCACTCGTCACCACGGCTGGAATCTCCCCCATTTGAAACTCTGAAGCTGTCTATATATATATATATATAATGGAAGCGAGACCTCCACCACCGCGGTATCGCCTCAGGCGCAGTGCCCGTACAGGGAGCGGTTCCCTCCTAGGCCACTTCCCGCCCTCCAAAGGTCCGTAGACGGAAGCGGCGAGGGGGCTCACCCCCCCCCCCCCCCCGCGGAGGGTGACCAGAGAGAACGGAGTGGTGGGGAGGCTCTGGCGGCAGAGGCCAATGACCGATCAAGAGCCAAGGGGGATTGCATGCTGCTCGAAACGAGGCGCAGCCAGGCATTAACCCGACCCGTCTGCCTTCGAGCGGGGAAGACGGGTTCATACCACGATCCCGCGGGGCTGTCGGAATTACAAGGCTTGCCACGCATTGCCCCCCATCTGTGCCCGGGCCCAGGGGAGGGGAAGGATGGCACTCGAAGTCGAAGTTGATTGGGTGGGACATCCGAAATGACACAAGACTGACGGTTCCAGCTTCCAGGAGGCCCAGAATCGGAAACACAAGACACAAGACCCAGGAGGTCCAGGCCCAGGAGGTCCAGGAGGTTCCAGAACATCACCCGCCACCAATCAACTTCGACTACACATTGACGGTCGACGAACGTCGACTACACGACGTCACGACGACGTCGACGTCACGTCACAGCGACAGCGACGACGGAAACCCTCGCCCTCGCTCGCGACAACTCGGCGGTTCGACTCGACGCGATTCGAATTCGGGCAGCCCCAGAGCCCCTGACCACAGATCTGCCGATAGGGGCACGACTGTCGATAGGGGCACGGCCCAAGACTCCTGAGCGGCCCCCGAAAAAAAAATATACGACCTGCCGATCTCAGATTTCACGGCGAAGGTTGTTCAAGAGAACCACGCTGTCACGTGGCGTGCCTCGGCGCACCTCGCCATTCCGATGCGAAAGCGAAACAGAACTGCCAACTGGGAGTCAGGAGCCCCCCCCCCCCCTCCCTCTTCCCCCTCCAGGGGAGCGGGGGGGGGAGAAACAACACGCAGGCGGGGCCCCCGAAGCCTGAGGCAAATCATGGCACGTCGGCCTGAAACAAATCTGAAGCTCGCAAGAATATCAAAGGGTCTCCAGCTCAGGTTCGGGCCCCTCGGCCGCGGCGCCGAGCTGCAATGGGGCTGTTGGCCCGACAGAGCCCACCCGAAACCTGAATACTGGACCCGAAAAAAAAAAACATCAATCACTGACAGTTCTACCGGCGCGAATCACGAATCGGCACGAAGACACGACGCCCTTTTGGCTGGCCTCTTCCCCATGCCTGTTAGGGGCCCTGGAGCTGCTTCATCTCCTTCTCCATGTAGTCAACGAGGTTGACTGGGATCTTGGCGGCCTGGACCTTCGAAAGCTGCGACTCCAACAGCTGGGTGCGAGCCTGCTTCGCGGAGCTGGGGAGCTCGACGAGGATGAGCCTCAACGTCGACACGACCGAAATGAAAGTCCCACCGAGGGCCAGGGACTTGAGCGTGAGCTTGTTGACCTCGGGGTAGCGCGAGCCGAGGAAAGCGATGTCCAAACCCTTCGCTGCCATGCAGAGTCTAGACAAGGCCGCCCAGGCGTGAGCGAAGGGCTCGAAATCGACGTCGATGAGGTTCTTCGCGATCTCATCCTTGTCGAATTTCTCGACGACGCGAGGCTCGAACGACGGGGTCAGCTTGCACGCCATCTTGCTGCGCGCTTGCCAATAACTCCGTGCTCAAGGCGGTGGCGGCCGAGATCTCGACGTCCAGCTGCTGGGAGGTCATCTCTGGGAGCCCCGGCACTGCCCGCATGTCCTTGCCGCCCTCGCTCAAGCACTGGTCGACCCCGCCCGACGCCCTGAAAATCCCCAGCTCACTCACGCCTTTGGCCAATGCGCACCACGTCTCGGCGGTGGCCCCCCGAGAGGCGGAGTACATGAACCACAGGGAAGTCATCGCAGCAGCGCGTGCGCAGTATGCCAAGCGAACGCTGAACACGCACCACTGCAGACGCAAAGCCATGGCGGTGTCAGACTTGCCCAGGGCTGCCAAGAGCGTTGCCACCTCATCAACCGTCGCTGCCGCTGGTCCGAACGACGGTTTCACCATCGCCTTAACATCGCAGCCGTCCGCCACAGCAGTGGGACCTGTCCCTGGGAAACAAGCGATGGTCTCGCCGGACATGTCATTCTGGCCCACGGCCTGTCGCAGGTAAGCAAGACGCAAAGAAAGATGAATCCGGAGAACGAGACATTTTGGAAAGGGATAGCTGCTGGACGAGGAGTATCAAGAAGGGCCGGAGATCAGGCGCCTCCCAATAGGAAATATCAACATGACCCTCAAGATCGTCAACATCTTCGGGCCCATGACCTTCTGCTCGCGCGATCCCAGGGCAGTCCGGCCGCGATTGAGAACGGCTAGGCATTTCTCGGTGGGCACTTTGTGGGCATCGAAAGCCTGCTGGAGCTGGCTGGCGCCATTGGAAAGCTGCTGCAGGGCCGCGCAGGACCTGGACAGATCCTCGAAGATGGCGACGTCGTCGCCCACGTAGTCGGCCTGCATGGGCTCAAGCGGGCAGTCGCACACCGCGGCCAAAGCGTCCACCACCTGGATCTCCGCGCCGCTTGTGACCTTCGACTTGCCAGCGATGTAGTTCAAGCCCTTGAGGCCCTTGATCTTCTCCACGATGGACGTCTTCTTCAGCTCGTGCCCAACGGCGCCGATCTCCATATCCATGACTTTCACCGCGAAGCCCCCCACTTCCTCGGCAACGATGCAGAGGACGCGGCCAAACATCTCGAGGAATGACTTCAGATACCGTTGGTTCTTGGGGTCCTGGGTAAGCGACTCAAGCAAAACCATGAGCCACATCCCCCCTCTCCTCAGCTGGTTGCCCCTTTCGATGGCTCTGATCCCTCCCCCATGACTGCCCCGCTACTGTAGCGGAGTCGTTTTTTGTTTGTTTTGCGTGTGTGCGTGTATGCGTGCGTGTGTGCGCGTGCGCGCGCGCGTGCGCGCGCGCGTGGGGGGGGGGGGGGGGGGGGGGGGCGGTGCGGTCGGGGGCAAGAAGAAAAATATCGAAACAACGCCTGGAGCAACTGCCATTCATGCTGAGGCGAGCTTGGTCGAGCGACCGCCCTGAAAGCCGACCTGAAAGCCGAGTGCCTCGAGCTCCTCGCCGACGCGGACGAGGGTCTCGAGGGCGTCGCCCTGCGAAGACAGAAGGCTGGCGAGTCGAGAAGCCGACTGATCCTTGCGGCCCTGGGCGGCCACCTCGAACGACAAGTGCTTCATGGGCTTGATCCCAGGGGCCGCGTTGAAGACCTTATGGATGTTGCATGGCTTGCGGCTGACTTGAATCAACGCGTCGTTCACACTCTCGACGTTGCCAGGGTAAGAATCCGCGTCGAAGACCAACTTCAACAAGACCTGGAGTGGCACCTCGACCGAGGCGGCCAGCGAGGGTGCCGTCGAACCAAGCTTCGGAATAGGAAACAAGAACGTGCGCACCATTGCAGCGTGCTGGTCCACGTTCTTGGTGAACGTGTCTCCTGCCTCAGCCACGATCTGCGTCGGCGCGTCAACTACGCTCTCTTCCTGCCACTCCACCAGCTCCTCGGCAGTGAAAAGGCTCTGGCAGGCCGGCTTCGAAATCATCTGAAACCTCGCCATCATGGCAGCGACGTCGCCATCCACCGCGCCCTTCACCATGCCGAAGATGAACTCCACCTCCTGGGCGACCTGTTGCACACAAGGAGGCAGCGACAGCTCCCGGTGGGGGGGCCCAGCAGCAAAAACGTTGATCGTGCTGTACTCAGCCAAAACTCTTCGTCGTCCCCTTTGCGAGCCCACTCTTTAAAAGCCTTGATGGGCCTGATGTAGCACTCGGAACCCTCGACGCAAACTGAGATCTCATCCCGCAGCGCACCCGGTAGCTGCGGCTGCTTCGCTAAGAGAGCATCCGTGGCCAATTTCACAGCTTTGAAATGTCCCCTGTCAAAGGCCAACACTGCGGCTCGCTGCCCCTGTTCGAACTGGGCGTTGTAGGTCCCCAGGCGCGCCAACTGCTGCTTCGCAAACGTATCGACTTTATCTGGCGCGCAGTCCGCCTGCGCCTTCGACGCCATCTTCCCCTGCTTGGAGGCGCCACCTGCGCCAATCTTACTCAGCGGAGGAGGCTCGCTGGCCGCTGCCCTGCCCCTGCCTCCGCCGCCGCCGCCGCCACCTGACGTGACCGAACGTCGGGGCTGCTCGACCCCCCCCAAAGATCCCCGCGCGCTGCTGGAACTGGAAGAAGCCTTTGAAGAAGACGCCGCGCCGCCAGCATCCTCGCCACAGAGCCCCCCCAATGCGGCCATCAAGGGATCATCCTCCTCCTCCGACTCGGCACGTTCGGGGCCCTCATCTGGCGCGCGGCCTGTGCTCTGATCATCGCTGGCACGCCCATCAACCCTGTAGGGCGCGCCGCCCGACTCACGGACCGGAGGTTGGACCGCCTTGCCAACGATTATGTTATGCTGGCCCGCGCTGCTCCTCATCTCGTCGAAGATGCCGCTGACGCGCGCGGCGCTGTCTACCGCGGTCCCGTCGGCCACGTTAGCGGTGTACTTCATGGCGCTCTCCTCGTACAACTCCGCACCCATCTCGTCGTCTTTCGTCAACGGGATGAGGACGACGCCCCTGCGGGGCCCGAGAGGGGTCCCCCTTTCGATTTTCAGTCGACAGTTGTGCTCGTCGCCGAACCGATTGGGTCCGATTCGCTTCGGGTTCGACGGATCTGCCGCAGATCCGTCGAACTTCGGTTCAACCATCGACCGAAGTTCAGCCGGATAGGACGGGCCCGGGGCCCAGGGCCGACAGGTCCAGGGATCCAGGCTGGAGCCCAGGGCTAGGGGCCCAGGGGCCAGGCGGAGGCGGAGGAGGAGGGCGCCGTGAGAAAGAGCTGCAACTTTGGCGGGGAGGTCTCGGGGGGGAGCGAGAATCGCCAATCCATCCCGCCTGCCTGGTCGCGCCGTCCTCCCACTTCCGCTTGGCCTTCTTGTGGCCGAGCCCGTTTGTATCAGGATCGCCAAACTCCTGAATGCACCCGGAATTGGCGTCACCGAGCAGCTTGAACGCGCCCGCGACGCCGGTTCTCACCCCCCTTGTCTCTGACCTGTCGACGCGCCCCTCAGAGAAGCCTTTCAGCGTGCGGATGGCGGCGCGCATGCGGTCGATCACTGACTGGATGTAGTCGAAGAATCTGGACCTGGCCTTCTCATCGCGCGCAATCAAATCACGCGCATGGCCAGCGGGCAAGCGCGGCCAGAGCTTGTGCTTGCCAAGGCCGCAATAGGCGCAAGCGCGGCCTTCGAACCCCAGCTTGTGCCAAGCTCTGGTCAGACTCGGCCGGTGAGGGGCCCCCCTCGCCGATGGCCTTGCCGCAGGGCAAGAACGTCTTAGACATAATATTGTCATAATCGCTGCCAAATGATTCCCGAGCGCCCTCCAAGCTGACGCCCGTCTCTCCGATAGTAGGAACGTCGCCGCCGCCATGCAACATGTTCTTGATGCCGCGCTTGCCCTGTGCAACCTTCCTGCGCTTCGCCTCGGCAAAGGCCAAGGTCGCAGGGTCGAGAGCCCTTTGGGCCCTGTCGTGGCCCTCTTGGGTCTCCTCTCCCGGGGGTTCGACGCAAGCATTTATACCGCGCGATGTAAAACAACCAAAAGACAAACAACCCCTGGGTTGCACTGGGCCGTCGCGCTACATCAAGGACGGCTTGGGCCGTTGGGGACCTCGAGACAACGCCCGAGCCGCCCTCCCCCTTCCCCGCCCCCCCCCCCCCCCCCCCCTTTCCCCCATCCTCCTTCTCTCCTCCTCCGCCCCCCCCCCCCCCCCTTCCCCTTCCCCCCCCCCCCCGCCCTCCGACCCATAGGACTCCTAGGGCCCTGGGCCGCCCTGGGCCCTGAGACTTCTCTCGGCGCCCCGAAGGAAGACGCGTTTCGCGCGTGAAACTTTCACCGACAACGTCCGCCGAAGGAAGACGACAACGACGGCAGCCGAAGCCGCAACGACGACTGACGACGAACGACGACGAGCCGACGACAGCGACGACGGCGACGACAAAGACGGCAACATCGCACCCAACAAGCGTTGTTTGCAGCCGTTCTGCGAGCCTGTGGGCGCGACGCATCGTCGCCCCCCTGGGGGCGGTCGAGGGGCTCAAGTATCCCCTGCATCTCCTCCCCGCACGCGCTGCTCAAGTTATCCAGCAGCTCATCCTCTGCAAACTTGCCGCCCAAGTCGCCCTTCGAACCCGTCGCAGAGCCCGGGTGCGCGACTGGAGGCACGCGGAGACCGCAGGCGATTGAAGACCGTTGTCTCGGGCCCCGATGCCAGGCGCCATGCGGCGGGTGGTGCGTGATGGAATGGGGCCAGGAGTTCGGCGGCATGAGAGGGCAGATGTATCTTGCTTGGGGCGAGGACTGGCACGTTCGGCGCCGGCGCCCCCCGCCCCCCCCCCCTCGCCCCCCGCCCCCCGGCAACAAGGCGAAGATATAAGGCCATGACCGATCTGATACCAGACGTCAGACACCGATATACTCGAGGGGTCGACTGAGGCCCGGGGCCCGCGGACCGATGGGGCGGGGCCGAGAGCTCCAGGTGCAAGCCACGTCGAAAATCGAAAGTGCAGACCTCCGAAAGGATGCGGAATGCAGGCAGACGTTCAAGCCCCTCGAAGGTGCGAGGCGCAAGTGCGGGGGGGGGGGGGGGGGGGCGATGCGCGCCTGAGAATTTCATCAAGGGTCAGCGCTTCCCGCATTCGAAGCGAAGCCTTACTAGACAGCTGGAGAGAAACGTGCTGACAGGCCTCCAACACCAGGCGCGACGCACCTCTTCGCGCCTGGGCCTGGCTCCCTGAGGTCTCTGGATTACTCACATACTGAGTTGGTGATCCTTTAATGGATTTTGTCGTCTTGGCATAGTAGACAATCTCGGCAGTAACCCAAATACCATCTCCAGAGGTCTCCTCCGCAACAGAGTACGTGGTGTGAGTGTTGGGGTTGTCAGAACACGGAAATGAATATACCCCAACCACATTCGTTTTCGCGCTTCCACCGTATTTGGGGCTTGATGGGAGCAATTGATGACCCTCCAAAATAGAATGAAGAGCAGTCACTGACGTGCCGTGTGACTGTTTTGTCCACCCGGCGGATGAGCCTGAGACTTCTGTA